ATTACTGTCCAATATTTCTGTTCAAAGCAACGGCGCGCGTGCAAGATGTATAAAGAATTTGAATTTCCCGCGGAGCAAAGAGCAAAACGCACTAGGAGTATTTTATTCAACCAAGTTAAATGCTTACTTAGGGATTAAAAAGTGAGCAATGAACAGTACTATAAACTTTGATAAATAGCAGCTTTTATGCTTCAGCTTACCGCCTTTAGTAGGAGTCTTGCATTAGCCAGGAATTGCCAACATGGTTGCTATTTCAGTGTTTTGCAGGCACTGCAGATCTTTTCTCTGCACCCAAATCCCACCAGACGTAGTAAAATGCGTTTAAAAAACACAAATGATACATAAGTGGCGTCTTTGTCGTAGCTTTGGCCTCGAAATAGGTTCATATAAACCCGCTTCCACTGCCATGTTGGATGTTGAATCTCGTTTTGTACACGAACATCTCACGGAAAAAACTCGCGGGAATATCGTTTCACAAATTTGCGCGGGAACGTATGCGGGATCACGCAAGATCGCGTTATTTCTCCAGACGCATCCTCAAGATGGGGTACGAGATAAACTTACTTCTCTCCACACGCACTGCTCTCTCGCGTTTCGTCTCTCGTTATTAAAAAGAGATTACAAATAATAAAGAAAATAAAAGTCATCGCATGAAAGCAAAATTTTCCTACTGTGACCAAATCAATCACACAAAAAAAATTTCGTCATAACATTGTCAAAGTTTACTGCGGAACCACTCGCCTGCGGCTCGTGGTTCCACAGCCACTTTGACAATGTTATGACGTAATTTATCATCAATAAGAAGACGGACGCATAAAAACTGACGTCAATTTGTTAACCTGCAGATGGCGTAGTGCACGCGCAAAACAAGTGCAAGAGACGCAAATGTTACTTACTGGGGAGGTGATGGGAAAAAATGTAACGGACACCGTAAAAGTTTTCAAAAAAGATGAATAACTTTAAAAAAACGCGTGGTTACCCCTAAATTTTATGTTATGAAATGGAAGTCGCAAGCCCATTGATTTTAACGCATTGTTGCAACAATTTTGTTATTAAAAACATACCAAAAATGGTTTTTATGTTACTATTTACTTACCATGTAGTCTATAAATGTCTTTTCTGTATGTAAAGGCGAATTCTAAGGAAATCTGTGAAGATATATTTTTTCCGAAAAATGCTGATGGCAGCATTTTTGTTGAGATTCCAGGCCAATTATCTTGAAAAAAATTCTTGGCTACCCCCATTTTATCCTTGTGGATTCCAATAGCCCTTGCAAAGATCTACTTTTTCCGCGTGGTCCCAACCTGGCTTAAAAACCTTTGTATTTAGAAGGCACCATCCTTAAAGCTGATGAGATCCTATATAGTTGCAGGATCCGGTACTGCTAATATTTTGTTACGGTGGTCCTAACAAATTGTAGTGATTTCAGGGAAAGCAGTTTATTTTGACTTGAACTTTTGGTCTAGAAGAGGGAGGGGGGATTGAATGAAACAAAAGAAATACATCTGTTATCCATGAAGCTGAGTGTGAATTCTATTTCTTTCCACTCTACCGTGATATCTTGATGAGCTTGACGTCACAAATTTGTTCTCAGAGCCTGGCTCTCCCAGCTCCACAACCAATCAGTTAGCTTGACTGCGCTTGCGAGTTTCGACCTTGAAGTCGCTAAGCAAAAAAAAAAAACGTATCCACACTGTCCCGTGTGATAAATTCCAGTGTCACGCTGCTTAGAATAGGGTAATGCCTCGTTAAGTGCTTCAATGAAGATTTATCAAAGCTGCACATTTCCCTGACTGCAAAGATACTAATCTAAGTCAGAAGGCCAAGTCTGTAATTGCTAACCTTTATGCAGGAGAACAATAAGTTATTTACAACCAAACTGTCCCAACTAATAAAGCAAAGT